TCCCTCATGCCCACGTCCTGCCCAGTGAGCATCTGTGGCCAAGCGAATTCCCGGCTGCAGCATCCCATGCAGGAGCAGAGCCACCCCCGCAGTGCCTGCCCTCTCCCTACCATTGCACACCTGTGCTCCCTGCTCCCATCCCTCCCTCCAGTCAGTAAAGGAATGGAGGCCTTCCTCACGTTCCCAGCCCAGGTTTTCTGTCCTGGCCTTGCACAGGGAGGGGACCCTCAGTCTTCGGGCAGCCGCAGGTTCTGCCACAACAGGGCCGCTAGTGTCCCTAGTGGTGGTAGCTGGAGGCAGAGCCTTGCAAGTGCCCCAGGAAGAGACCCCACTCCCTCTCTGTCCCCCAGAGAGTGCAAGCGCACACAGGGGGTGTCCACCACAGACCTCGTGGGCCGCATGCTGCTGGTGACTAAAGCCCACCACAGCAGCCAGGTGAGTAGGGGGCGGAATCGCCGAGATCCCTGGGTCCGGGTCGCCATGGGAAAGGAGGAGCATCTCCCTGCCCCCTCAGGGCCCTCCTGCCCACGCTCCCCGTCCCCGCCTAGTCCTGGGGTGGCCACGCCTGGAGGGCAGGCCCTTCAGCCCTGCTCTGCTCTTCTGTGCAGGAAATGTCCTCTGAGTACCGGGAGTATGCAGACAGTTTTGGCAAGGTGAGTGGGGCCATGCAGGGGAGCTGAGCATACAGCTACGGGGGCTACCCTCAGCCGCCTGTCCCAGCCATCCCTTGGGGAAAGGCCAGCCCAGAGCCTCACCCTCCACCCTGCCTCCTCTCTTCCTGGTGCTGGCCAAGCAGTGACGGCCAGGCGCAGCCCACTGACAAGCACTGGGAGGGAGGGCAGTCAGGTGGTGGCACCAGCTGGCCGGTCCCAGCAGCCACTGCTTGAGGAGGAGCATGGACTGCCCGTGGACAGGTGGCCTCTAACCAAGTGGCCTGGTCCTCTCTCCCTTTGTAGCCCCCTCACCCGATACCCGCCGGGGACATACTTTCCTCAGAAGGCTCCTCCCAGGTGACCAGACGGTGGTCTCAGGGTGCCGGGTCCCTCCCAAGGGCTGTATGCACCGGCCACCCGGCTCTGGGCCTCCTCCTGGCGGTCAGTGGCTGGGCTGAGGTGGTGTCAGCTGTGGTGCCTGCTATGGCTGTGGGGTGCGCCACAGTCCCACCTGCCACCTGGCCTGGCGGTGTGTCCCCTGCCCAAGGTGACTGCCTGGAAATGGGGTTGCTGGCAGGCAACAGCTGAGGGTTTGGTGACCTGACAAGGGCAGCACCTGGGAGGCCTCCCCTGCCAACCTGCTCCCTCTCTCGGCTTACAGTGCCCTGGGGGGCGGAACCCCTGGACTGGGGTATCCCAGTTTCTGCAGACATCCCAGAAGATCATCCAGTTTGCTTCTGGGAAGGAGCCCCAGCCAGGGGAGACAGTCATCTATGTGGCTGGCGCCTTTGACCTGTTCCGTATCCTCTGGGCCTCGGCTGCTCCCTATGTGTGCCACATGGGGTGGGACCCAGGGGCCTCACTTGACTCCTTGGGGCCCCCAGACTGGGCTGGGTTGCAGGGGAGCAGCTGTCAGAGGGAGGATGGCGGGAGGCCCCTGGGCACGAGCTGTTGGAGGGAGGATGGTGGGAGGCCCCTGGGCACGAGCTGTCGGGGAGTTGCCCCCTGCCCTCCCCGTCCCGGCTACTTCTTAACCTGGGCACAGACATCGGGCATGTGGACTTTCTGGAGAAGGTGCACAGACTGGCAGAGAGGCCCTACATCATAGCTGGCTTGCACTTTGACCAGGTCACTGCCCAGTGCCCTCCTGTTCCCGGGGCCCCTGATATCCCCTCGGCAGCTGATAGGCCCTCGAGGGGCCCGGGGGGTTGGTGTTGGGCGCAGGTGGTCTCTGGGAGGAGGAGGCCCGAGGTGCAGTCAAAGGAGACCCTGGGGGGTGATCATGGGCTTCTGGGGTCCAGGGCGGTCCTGTCTGGGCATCCCCACAAGGGCGGGCATCCTCCTCAACCTCTTCCCACAAGGGACAGCAGGGAGGGGTCATACCCTGTCCGCCTGAAGTCTCTGGGCTGAGCCAGCATCACTCTGGCCACAGGAGGTCAATCACTACAAGGGGAAGAACTACCCCATCATGAACCTGCATGAGCGGACGCTGAGTGTGCTGGCCTGCCGGGTGAGCTGGGGCCAGGAGCCAGCCCAGGAATGGGGGGACATCCCCACTTCTCCCCACCAAAGGCTCCCTGAACCAGGGCAGGGCCACATCCAGCACTCCCGAGTTCTGTGGCACCTGCCCCTACCTGTTTGGTGAGGCAGGAGTGGGGGTGGCCAGATCTCCAGGTACTGTTCCTTCTCGACTCAGAGAAGCCCAAGGGGTCCCCAGCCTGCCCAGCCCAGCCCTGCTGCTCACTGGCAGCCCCGCCCCATGTCTGGACTGTCTCCCACCACCCCCTGGCCCTGGCTTAACAGTAGCAGAGACCAAGCAAACCTTTCTGCCCACTGTCCCCACAGTACGTGTCAGAAGTGGTGATTGGGGCCCCATACGCAGTCACGGCAGAGCTCCTAAGTCACTTCAAGGTGAGGCTCCGCACGGGCTGGGAGTGCTGTCTTGGCCGTGGGCTCCTAGGTGGGGCCTAGGAGGTGCCTGGGCTGAGGAAGGGGCAGGATCCGCTCTCCCAACCTCGGGACCTGTGCTGGGCTGTGGGTGGCGACGGTGGCTGCCTCCCTGGGGAGGGCTCCTGACCCCCCTCCTCCTCCAGGTGGACCTGGTGTGTCACGGAAAGACGGAAATTATGCCGGACAGGGATGGCTCCGACCCATACCAGGCAGGTCATGATGGCCCTCGCTGGGCACAGGGGGTTGCCATTGGCACTTCCCAGCCACTTAATGCCTCACTGTGCCTGCCTGGGAAACGGGCACAGTGGCCACAGCTGCTCTGACTGTACCACCCCCACGGGACCCTGGGTGCTGGTCTCCCTCTGGGACAGGGCACTGGATGGATCCTGGGGAGGTCAGCAGGGACCTTCATCCCCCTCCTCCTCTCTGGACCCCCAGGAGCCCAAGAGAAGGGGCATCTTCCGTCAGATTGACAGTGGCAGCGACCTCACCACGGACCTCATTGTCCAGAGGATCATCACCAACAGGTGAAGCTGGGAGGGGGCACTTTGGAGCCACCCCGTAGGCGCCCTCCACTAGACTCACCCTGCCCTCCCCTCAGGTTGGAGTACGAGGCACGAAACCAGAAGAAAGAAGCCAAGGAGCTGGCCTTCCTGGAGGCTGGCAGGCGGCAGGCGGCCCAGCCCCTGGGCGAGCAAGATGGTGGCTTCTGACCTGGTGGGGGCCCTGGCCAGCCCTCACCCTGCTCTGCTTCTGCGCCTTCTGCATTTGGCCATAGGACTCCGGGCCGCCCTCTCTGACTGGCCTGGCTCTGGAAAGGCTGGTGAGGGCTCTGCCTCCTGCCTGCCTTCAAGGTGCCTGGTTCACAGCAGGCTCTCCGCCCTTTCAGAGGGCGTCCAGCAAAGTGGAACGGCCAGTGCCCCCAGCACCTGGACAGAGGCCACACCCTTCCCCCAGCTGTGGTGGGAAGTGCAGAACAGAGGGCTTTAGGGAGCAGTGACCGGGGTTAGGGTTAGGGTTTAGTCCTCTGGGTGCAGACCACGCCACCTCCCACTTGGCACCCCCCAACACGGTGTCCTGCCACCTGGCGCCTGCTCCAGGAAAACAGGCTTGCCTTCCTCCCTGGCAGCTTCCTGGCTCTCCTTATGGACTCTGTTCTGTTTGTACATAATGGCTAACGTAAATCTCTTTGGTATAACCGAATAAAGCCTGGTGGCAGTGCTGTGCGGGTGTCCCCGCCCTGCTGGGAAGGACTGGGGAACCACCTACCTAGCAAGGAGAGCCTCTTGGCCCTTGTGGGCATCCCCACGAGGGCAGGCACCCTCCCCAACTTCTTCCCACAAGGGACAGCCCCCACAACGCACCCAGCAGCTGGTAGGGCAGCGGGCAGCCTGGCAGTGAATGGAGCCCCAGCCTCCAGCCCTCCGAAGCGTAGGGCTGCCCCCTATAGCAAGGGAAGCTAGAGTAGGGAGGAGAATCTGGGCTAAGGCTCCTTGACCCTGCAGGGGCCACGGGATCTCTGCTTCCTGCCCCCGCCAGGGCCCACCTGGGGCAGCCCAGAGGCCAACAAGGCTCTTATGGCAGCCTCCACTAGCAAGGAAGCCGGAGGCGAGGTGTGCCAAGGCTCTCCCGCAGCCCAGAAGGCGGCGTCTCGCCTTGCTCTCCTAGCCAGGGGGCAAGGTGTGAGAAGCACAGACAGGCCATCCTGGTCCCACCAGGCCCCCACCTTCCGGAGTCGGGTGGTGCCAGTGCTCCCCCTCAACCCCTGGGCTTCGGGGTCCCCTGAGCAGAGGGACCAGCCAGTCCCCCAAGATTGGTGCAGGGGCAGGGACTGCCTGGGCCCCAGGCTGGGGGGGATGGGAAGGCCCCAAGTGTGCTGCCTGGGCTTGGCCCTGTTCCCTTAGCAGCACTGGAGGTCAGGGCCCACACCAGTGCCCCAGAGACCCAACCACAGAGGGAGGGCCCACCCGTCTCCCACCCTCAGCTCCAGGCCTCTGGGACCAGGGCTCAGGCCCCCAACTTTTCTGGCCCCTGCCCCCTTGGACCTGGCCTGGCCAGAAGGGATGGGGGGAAGGCAGCCAGGGGCACTAGCCCACGCCCTCACAGATTCGGCTCTCAAGTGTGGGTGCAAAGGAACGGGTGAAGACGCTGGGGACCGTGCCAGCAGTGGCCCTGCACTTTCCCCCAGGAAGCACCAACACCAGGTTCGTCTTCACCTTGGGCTGGGGTCCGGGCAGGCATGGGTCCTGGCCAGCTTCACCCCGGGATCTGAAAACCTCTGGGCTGCCCAGGCCAGCTTTGCCCTGCTGCCGCATACCCGGCTGCCCTCTCCTACCCAGATGTGGCAACTTCCAGGCCCGCTACCCCTCGTGGTCCGACTGCCCATCCTCCAGCAGCCCGAGGTCGCCTTATTTATTTATTTACCATTAACTGCAGGGTGGGTGGGGTAGGGGAGAGCTGGAGCGCCATCCCGCGGGGTCCGCAGTCTCCCAGTGGGACGGTGGGGGCGGGGTTCCTAGCGGTGCCAGGCGAGGTCCGGGTCTGGGGTCCAGGCTCAGGCGGCGCGGCAGTCGGCTGTGCGCAGGGACAGGAAGACGTCCGCCTTGCACTGGAAGGTCCCGAGGCCGTCGGGGAGCCGCTCGCACCTCTGCAGGTTCGGGGCCACGTCCTGGACGCACAAGGCCTAGGGCGGGTGGGCGGAGGCTGAGGGGCCGCCGCGCCCCCGCCCCTGTCCTGCCGCCGCCCCCCGACAGCTCCTGGCCCACTGGACTCACGAGACTCCGCAGCCTGGGGTGCAGCTCGAGGGAGGCGCCGGCCGGGCCCGGGGGTTGCGCCCCGCTGTGGAGCTGGGAGCGCCGCGCGTACGGGGACCTGCGGAAGCCGGACAGCAGCCCCGCCGCGCGGCCCACGGAGTAGGAGTTGCGCCCCGCCGCCGACTTGTACCACGCGAGGCCGGGCGGCGCCAGCAGCAGGCACAGCGCCAGGGCGGCGGCCGCCAGTGTCGCGGGCCGGGCCATGGGGCTGCGGGCGGGTGGGCAGCGGCGTCGGGGCTCGGAGCAGCCACCTCCTGGGCTGCCTTATATCCGCGGTGGGGCGGGGGCGGGGCGGGCGGAGGCCGGGGGGGCGGGCTGGCTGGGGGTGCAGCGGGCGCGGGCGCGGAGGGCTCGCCGCACCTCTCCACCCCGGAGGAACCGGCGGCGCGGGGGAGCGCTGGAGGCGCGCAGCGGTCTGGCGCTTGGTGGAAACCCGACGCCCCCTCAAGCTCCCACTCACACCGCTCGTGCCCTCCAGGCCCGGCCTGCATGGGCCTCAGTGGGAGCAGGGGAAGGCCCACGGGCGCCCAGCCCAAGGAATCGTCCCCCGGCGGTCCGCGGTACCCCTGAGGCTGGAGAGGACTGCACGGTGCCCAGGGGGGCGGTTTCTCCCACCCTAAGGGAGATTCCTGGCCGGAGTTTCACGCGAGGCATGGGAGTCCACGCGGCTTGCGGGGGCCCTCATTTGCTTCGTGCCCATCGGGGGGTTCCACCAGCAGGGCTGCTACTGGCCGGGTCCTCTGGGAGCGGGGCAGGAAGGCCAGGCACCGACCTCGGGAAAGCCACAGGAGGCCCTGGAGCCCCAGGATTCCTGGCCTAGAACTGGAGGCCCCTCCCTGCCCAGCTCTGCCCCTGCGGCCGCCGGCCTGGAAGCTCCTTCATTCACGCAGCAGACATGGAGGTCCGGTCAAGCGGGAGCTCAGTCCCCCATCAACGAAGTGGAGCTGGCGGCAGAGCGCCAAGGGGAGTTGCCCCAGGGCTGCAGCAGGGAGGCCTGGGGCATGTTTTCAGAGGGCCCCAGACTTCTGGGCCTGCCTGGCGGGTTCTCAACCTGACAGATCCCCAAAAGGGCCCCAAAAGAGCTTTCATAGGGGAGGCAGATAGTGGGGCAATGCAGGCGATGGGGCAGAGCTGGCCCAGGAGAAGCTCCTGTCGTGCCCAGGAATCCCAGAATTGGAGGAATCCGGGTGGCTGGGAAGCCAAGAGGTGGGCAGTTGTCCACAGCGGGTTCAGAGTTGAGCCTGCACGTCCCGTCATTGAGGAGGAGGCGCCAGGAAGGACGGAAGCAGAGCACATTCCCTAGAAGACGCTCCATCTCCCAGGAGACGGTGGGCACTCCAGGAAGGTGGGCAGGCAGGGGCCTGACCCCACCGAGCCTGGGGAACCGGAGCCAGAGAACAGCCAGGAGGCTCTGAGGCCACTGCATCACTGCAGCCCCCGTGGGGGTCCCAGCCAGCTGTGTCCTGACTCCTCAGTATTGGCACCCATGCCCAGATCCAGGCTTCAGTGCCTGCCCAGCAGTGGCCAGATGTAAGTTTGCAGAGCTGCCAGGAGAAGCTCTGTGGGGCACCAGGCAGGGCTGCTGGACTCTCTCCTGGCAGGTGCCATTCAAGCTCACGGTGCCCTCACCATGTCATGCTCGCCCCAGGTCCTGGTCACATCTTCTTTTAGGTATGTCCTCAGGACAGGCACTGGCACTGCAGCCCTGACACCTGCTTCTGGGTTCCAAGCTTCCCAGGTGTGATGGTGAGTACTGAGCGTCAACTTGATAGGATTGAAGGATGCTGGGCGCTTCCTGCTCTGGAACGTCGGAACCAAGTTCTTCAGCTTTTGGACTCTTGGACTCACACCAGTGGTGCGCCAGGGGCTCTCGGGCCTTTGGCCACAGACTGAAGGCTGCCCTGTTGGCGTCCCTACGTTTGTTTTGGGACTCGGACCAGCTTCTTTGCTCCTCACCTTGCAGATGGCCATTGTGGAACTTCACCTTGTGATTGTGTGAGTCAATTCTCCCAGTAAACTCCCTCCCTAGATACGTCCTGTCCCTCTAGGGAACTCTAACACATATTTCTGGTGAGTTCTGGTCTAGTCCCCAGGTTGCTGTGAGGAAGGAAGCAAGGGTCAAGAGGCTCACACTGGGCACGGGGCACTTGCCCTGTGCATGCCAAGGGCTCCCTAGGTTATTGGACACAGCCTGTGCCATCTCCATCCAGAAGCAGCCTGAGACGCTGGGGCTGGGCTACTGCTCCCCCAGCAGCCCCTCCGCTATTGTGGTGAGCAGACGCACCCCAAGGAGCCTCCCAGGACCACCCATCCCTAGGCAGGGGACCCTCAGACATGTGTGGACATACTTCCCAGTGTCAGGACATCAATCCCTACACTGCAAGAGGCCCAGCCCCAATGAGGAGCTGCCGTCAGTCCCAGTGAGAGAGAAGGGATGGAGAGAACAGATGACCGCTCAGAGATGGCGGCCTTCAGTCTGGAGGGACCATGAGCAGCAGCTGCCAGCTCAGGGCCAGCCCGAGGAAGGGTTCCAGGGCCACCGCCAGGCTTCCAGCAGGCAAGAGCATGCCCCAGGCCCTGTCTCATCCTGCTCCTTGACTCAGGGTTTGATGTGGGCCTTGGCAGTGTTTCACGGAGATGTTTATTCATGAGTTTTCATATCAAAACACATGGAGACCACATCAATATGCAGAGAACAGAAGCACCCAAAGGCCTCCGGCAAGATCTGAGTAGTTTAATGAGTTTTACTTATTGGATAAAAGTGTCAACATTGTGATGAAAAAACAAACAAAGCCCCAGCCTCGTTCCACCTTGTTGCAGCCCAAGAGAACTGTCCCCAGCAGCGACTACAGCCATTGGCGCCAGTGTGAGGCGAGGTCTCAGGACGCCACCTTCAGCGAGGGCAAGGCTGGGCCCTCACTCCTTGAACTTCCACTCCTGGCGACACATGGGGCAGTGCTGCTGCACCTGCTGCGCGTGAAGCCACTTAAGGATACAGTGCATGTGGAAGCAGTGGGAGCACTGGCCCCACACCAACGGGCAGTCGTCGCCGGGCACCTTGCCTGCAGGGGGGGGCGGGGGGAGAAGAGAGGATGGGCGTGACCAGGCTGGACACAGAGATGTGACAAGTCAGGCAGGGGCGCAAGGAGGGACCCTGGGCAGTGTAGTTTCTCATGTTTCAGAAAAGCCGAAATCAGGAGAGTTACCCAATCAGTCTCCTGACTAGACTGCCCCCAGGCAAAGAGCAGCAATGACCAAGGGACGCCAGACAGGAGGCCCCCACCCAGGACAACTGCAGCAGGCACTCATCTTGCTCTGAGGATAGCCAGAGGGCCTCTCTGAGGCAGTGCTATAAGGGAGGAGGAGCTCTGGCCTAGCCTACCATGTCTCCCCTGTGCTTGAGACTGGGGAAAAAGGGCCTTGTCTGACCTACAAGCCCTGGGGCCCATCTGCAGACACTTGATCTGTGATGACAAGAAGGTCATATGAATGGTCAAGGCACCAAGGAGACTCCCACATGGGTAGTGAACCGGTCTCTTGATCAAGGGCAGGAGGGGTGGGGCCTGCAGACCTAGAAGACTCTTCCTAGACGTCCAGGATTGGGTGTGCTGCCCAGGCGCTGGGAAAAACATGCTGATGGGCAGCTGTGGATGGGCCCTGCCAGCAGAACAGCACTGCATCCATCTCTTTCCCATCTGCTACCTCAAAGGGCTCTGCCTCCCAGGACAGGCGCAGGCTGTGGGCACTGACCCAAACACCCAGAAATGCTTTCTCCACGGAGGGGGCCTGGCACAGAGGATGCTCGTATCACCCATGATCAAGAGAAACAAGCATCCCTGATCTCCAAGAACCTGGAAGACCCCACGGAACAGCTGCAGCCAGCTGAGCACAGCCAGTCCCAGCCGTAGCCCCACAGCAGGGTCAGCCTGGCATTGTGGAGCTGGAGCTCCCGGCTGCCCCAGTCCCCAGTCCCAGCAGCGCCAGCCCCACAGCAAGCCGGCTCCCAGCCCTGGGAGGACCCGCCCGTGGGGGCTTTCTGGCCGCAGCGCAGCTCTGCTTGAAATCACCTCTTTCAAATTAGAGTTGTGGGACAGGGGTCTGGGCCACTCTGAGTCCTGGGGGGAGGGTTCATTGGGACAAAGGTGCTGCTTCATTCTAGTGTGTCTGCCACGTGATTCTGGCCTGGGGTGTCTGATCAGTCTGTTGAGTCCGAGGACGCACTGAGGGTGACTCATTTGAGGACCTGCCCGTCTCTCTGACTGCATTTTTTAAATTAAAATACCTCTCGGCAACATTCATTGTTCCCAGAATCCTCTGGGATGCGGAATGGATTCACTGTTTACCAGCCTCGGGCTCCCAGGGTCCTTGTTGAACTTAGTCACTCTGAATTTTTCACAGGAGTTCAGTTTTAGTAAAAGAAACCTGGGGCTGCTTATCTATGGAAAGCACATTAGACTTGTCAAACACTGTGCCTTAAAACTGACTCACTAAAGGCTGGGTGGCGGGGCTCACACCTGACAGCCCAGCACTCTGGGAGGCCGAGGCGGGCGGGTCATCTGAGGTCAGGAGTTCCAGACCAGTCTGGCCAACATGGTGAAACCCTGTCTCTACTAAAAATACAAAAATTAGCCAGGCGGGGGGTTGCATTCCTGTAATCCCAGCTACTTGGAGTCTGAGGCAGGAGAATCGCCTGAACTCAGAAGGCAGAGGTCGCAAGTGAGCCGAGTTGGTGCCATTACACTCCAGCCTGGGCGAAAGAGCAAGACTCCATCACACACACACACACACACACACACACACACACACACCCCAAACCCAAATGAGTGTGGTGGTATGCTACCAGGCAGGCTGAGGCAGGAGGACCGCTGGAGTCCAGGAGTTCAAATCCAGCTAGGGCAACATAGTGAGACCCTGTCACTAGAACAACAGAAACAACGAAAAATGCCAGGCGCGGTGGCTCACGCCTGTAATCCCAAGCTGAGGCCGTCAGATCACAAAGTCAGGAGTGAGACCAGTCTGGCCAACACAGTGAAACACTGTCTCTACTAAAAATACAAAAAAATTATCTAGGTGTAGTGGTGTGCACTTGTAATCCCAGCCACTTGGGAGGCTGAGGCAAAAGTTGCAGTGAGCCAAGATCATGTCATGACACTCCAGTCTGGGTGACAGCAAGACTCCATCTTAAAAAAAAAGCCTCTATTATCAATATGGGCATTCACCTGGCCCCACCAAAACACACCTGGTTACTTGGGGTAGTGAGAAGGAGCTTCTCGGCTCTCCCCATTTCCCACTGTCCTCTGGGGAGTTTTTCCTGTCCTCCCTGGGCAAAGCCCTGGCCCTTGCTTCTGGTTTACATTCATTTTGGTGTCATGAAAAACCATTTCATTGGTGTAAAACTTTGCTTTCAACCTAAATGTAATCAAACATCTCCACTTTACAGAACTTACTGGGGACAGAGAGAGAATGCAAAAGACACTATGAAGAAAAAATGTGATAAGCCTGATGACAGAGCACCCTGCAAGGAAACATACCACATTTTTAAGAGAGTCAAATGTCCTCAAAAAGTTAAAGTTGGATAGAGGAGGGAGTTTGTAGAGTACAGGGCTAAGAAATGGATTAATGTTGAAAAGTTAAGTCCTGTCCAGGTGTGGTGGCTCATGCCTGTAATCCCAACACTTTGGGAGGCCAAGGCAGGCAGATCACCTGAGGTCAGGAGTTTAAGGCCAGCGTCTCTACTACAAATACAAAAATGATCCCGGTGTGGCGGTGAGTGCCTATAATCCCAGCTACTCAGGAGGCTGAGGCAGGAGAATTGCTTGAACCTGAGAGGTGGAGGTTGCAATTCACACCACTGCCTGGCCAACAGAGCAAGACTCCATCTCAAATAAATAAATTAACTAATTAATTAAAATAAATAAATAAAAGTTGAGCCCTGTACCGGGCACAGTCCCTCACACCTGTAATCCCATTAAGGCATATTGTGAGGTCAGGAGTTCGAGACTAACTTGACCAACATGGTGAAACCCCATCTCTACTAAAAATACAAAAATTAGCCAAATATGGTAGCACATGCCTGTAATCCCAGCTACTCAGAAGGCTGAGGAAGGAGAATTGCTTGAACCCAGGAGGCAGAGATTGCAGTGAGCCAAGATCATGCCACTGCACTCCAGCTGGGAAACAGAGCGAGACGTTGTCTCAAAAAAACAAATAAAATAAAAGCCGAGCCCTAGCTCAAGCCACTCAGCCATAAAAAAGACATTTGGGGACAGCTGGTGGAACAAGAAGCAGGAATGACTGTGAAATTGCCAGATAGACAACAGTGGTGGCTAAAGAGACACATAGCTGAAGTGTGTGGGAAGAGGAATCAGATTTAAAATTTTATTTTATTTTTTATTTTTATTTATTTATTTATTTATTTATTTTGAGATGGAGTTTCGCTCTTGTTACCCAGGCTGGAGTGCAATGGCGCGATCTCGGCTCACCGCAACCTCCGCCTCCTGGGTTCAGGCAATTCTCCTGCCTCAGCCTCCTGAGTAGCTGGGACTACAGGCACGCGCCACCATGCCCAGCTAATGTTTTGTGTTTTTAGTAGAGACGGGGTTTCACCATGTTGACCAGGATGGTCTCGATCTCTCGACCTCGTGAGATCGCCTTGGCCTCCCAAAGTGCTGGGATTACAGGCTTGAGCCACCGCGCCCGGCAGATTTAAAATTTTAAATCATTAGGCACAAAAAATAAAGCTAATATGGAAACATGATTTGCTGTTTTTCAATGAGCTGGAAAAGGAATGCCCTTATTCCATTCAACTTTTTTTTTTTTTTTTTTTTTTAGATAGAGTCTTGCTCTGTTGCCCCGGCTGGAATGCAGTGGTGCAATCTCGGCGCACAGCAACCTCCACCTCCCAGGTTCAAGTGAGTCTTCTGCCTCAGCCTGGAGTAGCTGGGATTACAGGCGCCCACCAACATTCACAGCTAATATTTTTGTATTTTGTTTTGTTTTTATTTTTTTGAGACGGAGTTTCGCTCGTTACCCAGGCTGGAGTGCAATGGCGCGATCTCGGCTCACCGCACCGTCCGCCTCCTGGGTTCAGGTAATTCTCCTGCCTCAGCCTCCTGAGTAGCTGGGATTACAGGCACGCGCCACCATGCCCAGCTAATTTTTTGTATTTCTAGTAGAGACGGGGTTTCACCATGTTGACCAGGATGGTCTCGATCTCTTGACCTCGTGATCCACCCGCCTCGGCCTCCCAAAGTGCTGGGATTACAGGTGTGAGCCACCGCGCCTGGCCTTTTTTTGTATTTTCAACAGAGACAGGTTTTTGCTATGTTCACCAGGCTGGTCTCAAACTCCTGGCCTGAAGCAATCCACCCACCAGCCTCCTAAAGCACTGGGATTACAGGCATGAGCCATCAGGTCCAGCCTGTGCCATTCAATTTTAAGACCTTTCAAGTAAAAAGTTTAAACTAATCTCTTTTTAATGCTATGTATTTCACAGCTGAGTTTCATCTTATCAAATGCAGTGACAGGATCTTTATACAGACCTGGGTTCCAACCACCTGGCTTTTTTTCTGTCAACTTTTCTTGAAGAAATGAAAATAAAAATGTGTGGCCAGGCACACTGGCTCACGCCTGTAATCCCAGCACTTTGGCAGGCCGAAGCGGGCAGATCACCTGAAGTTAGAAGTTTGGGCCCAGCCTGACCAACATGGAGAAACACCGTCTCCACTAAAAAAAACAAAATTAGAAGGGTTTGGTGGTGCATGCCGGTAATCCGAGCTACTTGGGAGGCTGAGGCAGGAGAATCCCTTGAACCTGGGAGGTAGAGGCTTTAGCAAGCCAAGATTGCGTCATTGTACTTCAGCCTGGGAAACGAGCAAAACTCAGTCTCAAAAAAAAATAAATAAATAAAGGAAAATGTGGGGATTTCCTGCAAGTGTATTTAACAGGAGCCACGGAGGCTAGTCCAGCAGGCAGACAGCGGAAGGGACACTCACAGTCGGGGCAGCAGCCGTTAAACGCCATCCTGCAGATGCCACAGTTTTCATCGTTGGCCACCCAGAGCCACGTGGCCACCCCGTTCCAGCACTTAATCTTCACCTTCATGGCAGCAGAGCCTGTAGCCGATGGGAAGAGGAGGAGGGGCTAAATTCAGTCTGCAGAGCTAGAAGATTTAGGCACCAACATAGGAATAAGCCTGGCACAGGGGAGTCCCAGGTACTCAGAGGGCCCAGGCGGGAGGATGCCTCCAGCCCAGGAGTTTGAACCCAGCCTAGGAACGCCGTGAGCCCCGTTTCTATTCTACTTTTCTTTTCTTTTCGAGACGGAGTCTTGCCCTTGGAGGCTGGAGTGCATTGGCGCACTCTTGGCTCACCGCAGTCTCCGCCTCCCAGGTTCAAGCCCGCCTCCCCGGTAGCTGGGATCACAGACGCGCGGCACCACGCCCAGCTAATGTTTGTGTTTACAGTAGAGAGGGGGTTTCACCATATTGGTCTGGCTGGTCTCAACTCCTGACTTCATGACCCGCCCACCTCCGCGTCCCAAAGTGCTGGGATTACAGACGTGAGTCATCGCCCCCGGCCTAATTTTATTTATTAATTATTTTTTTGAGACGGAGTTTCGCTCTTGTTACCCAGGCTGGAGTGCAATGGCGCCATCTCGGCTCACCGCAACCTCCGCCTCCTGGGTTCAGGCAATTCTCCTGCCTCAGCCTCCTGAGTAGCTGGGATCACAGGCACGAGCCACCACGCCCAGCTAATGTTTTGTATTTTTTTTAGTAGAGACGGGGTTTCACCATGTTGACCAGGGTGGTCTCGATCTCTCGACCTCGTGATCCACCCGCCTCGGCCTCCCGAAGTGCTGGGATGACAGGCGTGAGCCACCGCGCCCGGCCTGATTTTTTTTTTTTTAAGAGACGGGGTCTCGCTGTGTTGCCCCGCGGGCCTCGCCCAGCTCGAGCGGTCCTTCCCCCTCGGCCTCCCCAGCCGCCGGGACGACGAGCGGGCAACGCCGCGCCCGACTTCCGACTTTCCTTTGCAGATGTGGGCGTCTCCCGACGACGCCCCGGCCGGCCTCACACCCCTAGGGCGACGCGATCCTCCTGCCTCGGCCTCCCCAGAAGCCGGGAGTTCCGGGTGAGCCCCGCGCCGGGCCCGCACGGACACTCGCACAGGATACGCCCGGCAGAACGAGGCCGGACACCCGCTCGCAGCCCCGACGCCGCCCGCGGCAGGTCCGCACCGGGGCCGCCCGCACGACGCCGCCGCGAGCCCGGCGCACAGCCCTCGGGCGGGCGCGGACACGAGACCCCCCGAGGCTCCCGGACGCCCGCCGCGCCCGCGGCGCCCCCAGCCCCAGCGGACCGGGCGGGGCGGGCGGGGAGGGCGGGGCGCGCATGCCCCGCCCCCGGCGACCGCCGCCCAACCACCTGCGCCCTCGCCCCTTCGCCAACCTAATCACGCACCGCCCTGCCCGCCCTGCCGTTGGCAGCGCTGACGTCCGCGCGGGAAGGTATAAAAACGACCGCAGCCGCAGCCGGCTCGCACAGCAACTCCCGCCGGGTCCCGCGCCGCACTGCGCACGCGCCTCCCCGCCTCGCCCCGTCCCGCGCGCGCCGTCGGCGGCGGGCGGCCAGTCAGCAGCCGCTCCGAGGCCGTGGCACCGGAAGGCCCCGCGCGGCGCCGGAGGTGACGTGCCGGCGTGCTGACGCGCGGGCTCGAGCCGATGCCCGATTCCGCGCCCGCCATGGCCGACAAGATGGACATGTCTCTGGACGACATCATTAAACTGAACCGGAGCCAGCGAGGAGGCCGCGGCGGAGGCCGGGGCCGCGGCCGGGTCGGCTCCCAGGGCGGCCGCGGCGGCGGGGCGCAGGCCGCCGCGCGAGTGAATCGGGGCGGCGGGCCCATCCGGAACCGGCCGGCCATCGCCCGCGGCGCGGCCGGCGGAGGCGGCAGGAACCGACCGGCGCCCTACAGCAGGGTGAGTGCGGGGGCCGGCCGCGCCGGAGGGCAGGAGTGGGCAAGCCGGGGCGGCTGGCGGCGGAGCCCGAGCCCGGCTGGCTGATGGGGCCGGCGGGGCGGCCGCCCGGGGGTCCGGAGGGTGCGAGCGGGCGGGCGCGCGGGGGCGGGGGGCGGGGGCGAGGTCGCTCGTTCGGGGCCCGGCCCGGGAGGCCGAGACCCTTTCCGACTCTTTGTTCCGGCCGCCGGGACCTCGTGGCGGCGGGAGCGGAGGGGTCGCTGGGCGCGGCAGCGGCGGCGGGAAGTTAGTGGCAGGGAACTGAAGTCGCGCTGCCGCGGGGGGACCGCGCGGCCTCGTGCTGGGGCTGCTCGAGCGGCCTCGCCTCCGCCGCGTCCTCCCAGGCCGGGAAGGGGAAGGGTCCGGGGTCGCCCCGAGGGCCGGGAAAGCCCTGGCCTGAGACTCACAGGTCTGCTGTCGTTGTGGTTTTTTCCTCCAGCCGAAACAGCTTCCCGACAAGTGGCAGCACGATCTTTTCGACAGTGGCTTCGGGGCTGGTGCCGGCGTGGAGACGGGTGGGAAACTGCTGGTGTCCAATCTGGATTTTGGAGTGTCAGACGCCGATATTCAGGTAAGAGACGAGGCGTTCTCGGCGAGCCGTTCGCCCTGCACAGGGCGGATCACGTTTTGGGGGATGTGGCCCTGAGTCCCCTTCCCGCCTTGGCGAAGGGAGCCCTCCCAGCTCTGAAGGGCTGCGGGACAGACCGAGCGCGGGTACAGCAGGGTCGGTCCGCAGGCAGGGGCGAGCCTAGCCCAGCCCGAGGGTCTGCTGCTCTTAGTCTGAGGATGGGCCCTGTGAGTGCAAGTCCTCTGCCAGGGCTTCCAGTTTCTGACAGAGACAAAGACTGATCCAATGTGAGTGGTTCTTGGCTGTTAGACTCAGCCCGCTTGCTCTTTAAATTTTGCGCCTGGTTTAGTGGGCTAATGTGACAAAAAGAATCTTACTTAATGTACCTTGTAAAGCAGAGGGAGCCTGTGTGTTTTTTGGCTCTGTTTGGCTTGAGTACTGTCTTAAAAAGACCTTGTAACTTGTGGTTTATCACTCCCCACCCCGGTGTCCTGTCAGCGACATGATTCTCCAACCCATTGAAGCTTTTCTTTTTAAAAAGAAAAACTGAAACCCAACGGCATTTAAACTTGTTTTCTGGTTAAGAAGTCACTTTTTGGGAGTCAGTTTTGGAGATGGCTGGGCAGGGTCAGTTGTCCACAGCCTAGCCATTTGCCTTGGGAGGACAGAGTAGGGCCAGTGAGCACTCACAGTGTCTCAACACTTTTTTTAAGGTGGTTTCTAGCATCCACTGGAAACCGCTTTTGGTGAACTCCACTTCCCGCTGTGTGCCTGCGGCCGGAGTATCCCCACACTCTGGGTTCCCTCTCCAACTCCCAGCCTGCCTGAGGTCAGGGCAGTTTCCATGGCAGCGCTTGACTTCAGACTTTGCGGCAGGCTTGAGTAGGAGGAGAGGGAAAGGTGAGCCAGAATCTGCCTTTGGGGGAGGGGCCGGGGTCAGGGTTCCCAAGTCAACAGGCCCTTCAAGCTGGTCTGATACTGGACCAGTTCCCTTGCTCTTCATCTTGGCCTTTACAGTTTCTTGGAACAGCCCTTGGGTGTGTTGTAAATTTTCCTTTGTTGAAGAGGATAGTGGCTTAATTTTGTGCCCCTTTCTAGTGGGCTTTGCGACTTCCTCTGCCTGCATCGTGGTACACCTGTCAGGTCCCCTCAATGGCAGGAGCCCTCAGACCCAGGCACTCTTGGAAGTTGCTGTGCCTCCTGCCCGTCCCTTCCCTCGTTTCCCATTACCACTGCCCTGCCTCCCAGGGAACCACCCCCCAAACCGCTCACTCTTCCAGGGCCTGTCCCTGGGCTACCAGAAGGAGCACGGTTTTCTTGCTCTTCTGACAACTGCTCTTTGCAACTCCAGGAACTCTTTGCTGAATTTGGAACACTGAAGAAGGCAGCTGTGCACTACGACCGCTCTGGCCGCAGCTTAGGAACAGCAGATGTACACTTTGAGCGGAAGGCAGACGCCCTGAAAGCCATGAAGCAGTATAACGGTGTCCCTCTGGATGGTGAGTGTGTGTGGGGGGGGAGCCACGCTGACTGTGGGGCTTGTGGAGTTTGGGGCTGGCACCTGTCCAGGTAGGAATATGGGGTACCCCTGTGGCTGAGGACACTTTGCATTTGCCCCTTTGTCTCTCTCTTCCATCTGCCACCTCTCATGCTGCCCCACACATCTGGACCAACCTCTTGTGAACCCCCATCCAGCAAGCTACATCCCTCCCCTCCTTCAGCTCCTTCCGGAAGATTCACTTCTGTGGAGCCTTCTCAGAACCACCATAGTACACCTCTGAGTGCGGGGCTGTAGTCGTAAAGACAAAGGTACCGGTTCTTCTTCGTCAGGTCACCCACACCTCTCCACCCACGAGCACCCCGACACCTCAGCAAGCAGCCCACCTAGTCTGGACTGAGAAGGAGTGAGGAGGTGTTGGTGGGGTTGCTTCCTTGCCATTTTGTTCTCCCACCAGTATCTCCAGGCCATTTCCCTTGTCGGGGGCATTTGAGACGCACAGAGGCCCTTTCCAGTGTTTGCATGGAGACCAGGGTGTGGTGCCAGCTGGGTTGGTTTCGGAGCCTCTCAGAACATGTCCTTTTGTATTCTTTGTCGCAGGCCGCCCCATGAACATTCAGCTTGTCACATCACAGATCGATACACAGCGGAGACCTGCACAGAGGTGACTTGCGGGGCCTCTGGGGAAGGGAGTGGCCTGCGGTGTGGCTGCATCGCCCTTGGGGTCTTCCCAGGTATGTGAACAGTTCTATTTTCCTTGCTAGCGTAAACAGAGGCGGCATGACTAGAAACCGTGGCGCTGGAGGCTTCGGTGGTGGCGGAGGCACCCGGAGAGGCACCCGTGGAGGCGCCCGGGGAAGAGGCAGAGGCGCCGGCAGGAATTCAAAGCAGCAGCTTTCGGCAGAGGAGCTGGACGCCCAGCTGGACGCCTATAATGCGAGAGTGAGTCCGGGAGAGCCGGCTGGGGGCCTGGTCAGAGCCCCGGTGGGGAGCAGGCCTCAGTGAGTGCGAGCCGCTTTCTCCTCTGTGTTTCAGATGGACACCAGTTAAACAGACCGGCAAATCCGTGTGGACAGGACCCAGGCGTCTCCTCTTGCTCCCTGCTTGGGGAGCGGTGGCTGGGGTTGTGCAGCCAATGATGGATTTGTTTCTTTTATGTTTTAAAATAGAATTTAAAAACTCATGTAAAGGTTTTTTTTCTTTTTTTTTTTTTTTATTTCTGAAACAGACCTGTTTTGTACCGAGTTATTTTTGGGATAAATTTTACTGGTTGCTGTTGTGGAGAAGGTGTTGTTTCCACCTTTTCCATAATAAATAGAACTGTGTGTAGAACTGGAAATGTTTGGTTTGTCCCACTGGGCCAGGACTTTGGTGTCTGTCCAGCTGGGAGGGGGGGAACCTGAGTGGAGGGTAGAGGGAGCAGCCCCATCTGGCATCGGAGACCTGAAGTTGGCGCGGGTTTCGGAGTGGGGTTACCGGCTCCTGGAGGGCCAGGCCTACCTGCCGTGTTTCATCCCCTTTCCTGCCTCACACCTAACGCCTTCCTCCCTAACTCAACCAGCTGAGAGGACACCTTTGCCGGGAGCCACCTGTTGACCCTTGTGCCTGTGCCTCCAGGTGAGGGGAGGTCGGGTGGGGTGGGCTGCCCTGTGTACCGCCCACAGCCAGAACGTCGCCGGGCTGTTCCTTTCCTTTTTGTACTCTGGTTTTCAGAGAATCATGCATTCAGCAGTTTTCGACTTTGTAGCGTAATTCCTTGGTTTTTCTAGGCCTTTTTTTTTTTAACTTTGCCACATAACAAGGCACAAGGATGCTCTCTTAGTTGTATATTTGATGAAATAGCTGCTAGAAGCTGAGTGCTGCGACATCTGATACCTGTAATCCCAGCACTTTGGGGGGCCAAGGCGGGAGGATCTCTTGAGTCCAGGAGTTCGAGACCAGCCTAGGCAACATGGCAAAACTGCGTCTCTACTAGGAATACAAAAATTAGCCCAGTGTGGTGGAGCGCCCCTGTAGTCTCAGCTGTTCCCTAGGCTGAGGTGGGAGAATCTCTTGAGCCCTGGAGGTCAAAGCTGTGGTGAGCCATGGTCACGCCACTGCACTTGAAGCTGGGCAGTGGAGAAACAGCCTTCTGCCCCTTGATGCTGGGTTGGTGACAGCACTTCAAGAATGAGATGGGAAGGGGGACTGAGTGATGCTTTGTGCAGACAGTGAGCTGTAGCCGACGGGCAGCCTGTGCCCTGTGGGCACTTGGAACCCCCTCTGCCTCAGGCAGTCCTTGGTTTTGTGTTGGTACGCACCTCTGTAGTCCCAGCTACTCTGGAGGCTAAGGCGGGAGAATCACTTGAACTCAGGAGGCAGAGGTCGTGGTGAGCCGAGATCATGGGTCATGCCATCGCACTCCAGCATGGGCAAAAAAGAGTGAAGCTCTGTCTCAGAAAAAAAAAGCAAGCACAGGGATTGGCCCAGATTGGACGCATGACTTAAGCGTGGGCAAGCTGAGTTCTACTCGGGGCGTTCGACTGTGTGGAGAGACGGGAAGCCGTGTTCCTCCGGGTCCCTTTCCCTGGCCAGCCCCGGGGAGGAGAGGAAGCACTCCCGTGGGACCTGGAGCTCTTCCAGGGTGGCACACGGCCTGCCCAGCTCTGCCTTCAGCCTGAGCACCTTGGGAGAGGCTCTCAGGTGCAGTCGAGCAGCTCCCACAGGTGCTCTGGCTTCTGGTTGGTGTGCAGAGATCTAAGGAGCAATCTACACTAAGAAACAGATTGAATCAATTGTGTTCCACCTCACATGGGTTAAGGGGCTACACTGCTGCTCTCAGATATCCTTTGTGATCCCATGGGATGGCTGTGTCTATACCAGGTAACAGTTGTAGCGTACATGAGTGTGACTTTGTTCTTACCTTCAGTGAACTGATGGTCTCATAGAGGAAACGTAAAAATGATAGGTTGCGGTCTGGCCTAACAGGAGTGGAGTGTGGGACGTGGTGGGAGCGCAGACGTCACAAGCACTCCAAAAACAACAACAAAAAAGCACTCCTCCCTTTGGCTGCACCTCTGCTGGAAGTTCTACGTAGGTTTCATTGATCCTGTCAGCAATCTAGTGATACAGTCTCTTGTATTCGAATTTTTAATTTATTTTGAGAGTTAGGCTTTGTCACCAGGCTGGACCACAGCGGTGTGATCAAGGGTGCTCACTGCAGTCTCAGCCTCTTGGGCTGTTGATCCTCCCATCTCAGCCTCCTGAATAGCTGGGACCACAGGCACATGCCACTGTGGCTGGCTTATTTTTTGTATTTTTTTTTTTTTTATAGGGACTGGGGTCCCACTATGTTGCCAGGCTAATATTGAACTCCTAGACTCAAGCGATCCTTTCACATTGGCCACCCAAACATTACAGGTGTGCCACCATGCCCAGCCTCATTTTAGAACTTAAAAGGAAGTGGCTGGGCACGGTGGCTCACACCTGTAATCCCAGCACTTTGGGAGGCCAAGGCGGGTAGATCACAAGCTTAGGAGATGAAGACCATCCTGGCCAACATGGTGAAACCCCGTCTCTATTAAAAATACAAAAAATTTAGCCAGTCATGGTATTGCATGCCTGTAGTCCCAGCTACTTGGGAGGCTGAGGCAGGGGAGTTACTTGAACCCAGGAGGCAGAGATTGCAGTGAGCCGAGATCATGCCACTGCGCTACAGCCTGAATGACAGTGTGAGACTCCGTCAAAAAAAAGGAGGGAAGTTGGTTTTCTTAACTCCACAGATATGTGGGTTCTGCTGCACTCCAGGTACCCATTAGGTGCCAAGGAAACCAGCAGTGAGTGAAACACAGAATCTCTGCCCTTGTAGAGCACGTGTTCTAATGCGAAAACAGAAAACAGTGAAATGCAGGATGTCAGATGGTGAAAAGGCTGCGGAAGAAAACCAAGCAGGGACTGGGGAGGAGTTGGGCAGGGCCTGGCTCGTCTTAGTTCTGCAGGGTCACAGGCCTGAGCTAAAAAATGGTTATCTAGGGAAAAGCATCACTGGCAGAGAGAATGGCATGTGCAAAGGTCCCGAGCTGAGAACACACGGGAGGTTCATTCAGGAACGAGCCAGGCCAAGACATCGCTCAGGCTGGGTAGGCAGCAGGATGCAGGGCATTACTATCTGCCCTTGCTAGGCCTTGAAGGAAGGAGCCCTTTGAGGACATCACCCAGAGGTGGTCTGCCCGGGGGAAGAGCCACGAGTGTGGGGAGGTCATGGGCTGGGACCCAGCATGGAGGCCTTGATGTGGATGACACCTGGAGGCAGACGCTGTCGAGTCAACTTTTAGTTGTTTTGTTTTAAAAATACATAAAATATAAAGTGCTTTCTTTTTTTGTTTTGAGACAGGCCGTTGCCCAGGCTGGAGTGCAATGGCATGATCTCAGCTCACTGCAACCTCCTCTGGGATTCAAGGGATTCTCCTGCCTCCAGCTAATTTTTGTATTTTTAGTAGCGACAGGGTTTCATTATGTTGACCAAGCTGGTCTCAAACTCCTGACCTCAAATGATCTGCCCACCTTGGCCTTCTAAAGTGCTGGGATTACAGGTGGGAGCCACTGTGAGTCAGCGTGCCCGACCTAAAGTTTGTTTGTTTGTTTGTTTGTTTTTGAAACAGTTTCTGTCGTCAGGCTGAGGTGCAGTGGCACGATTTTGGCTCACTGCAACCTCTGCCTCCCAGGTTCACGCAATTCTCCTACCTTAGCCTCCCAAATAGCTGGGAATACAGGTGCACACCACCACGTCCAGCTATTTTTTTTTTTTTTTAATTTTATTTATTTTTTTGAGACAGAGTTTCGCTCTTGTTACCCAGGCTGGAGTGCAATGGCGCGATCTCGGCTCACCGCAACCTCCACCTCCTGGATTCAGGCAATTCTCCTGCCTCAGCCTCCTGAGTAGCTGGGATTACAGGCACGTGCCACCATGCCCGGCTAATTTTCTGTATTTCTAGTACAGACGGGGTTTCACTATGTTGACCAGGATGGTCTCGATCTCTTGACCTCGTGATCCACCCGCCTCAGCCTCCCAAAGTGCTGGGATTACAGGCGTGAGCCACCGTGCCCGGCCCTAATTTTTTTATTTTTATTTTTGAGGTAGAGTTTTGCTCTTGTTGCCCAGACTGGCGTGCAATGGCATGATCTCGGCTCACTGAAACATCCACCTCCCAGGTTAAAGCAATTCTTCTGCCTCAGCCTCCCAAGTTGCTGGGATTATAGATGCCCACCACCACACCAGGCTAAGTTTTTGTTTTTAGTAGAGACGGGGTTTCACTGTGTTGGCCAGGCTGGTCTCAATCTCTTGCTCCTGATCTGCCCGCCTTGGCATCCCGAAGTTCTGGCATTATGGGTGTGAGCCACAATGCCTGGCCTCAAGTAGTCTTAAAACTTTCTTGCTGGGCGCGGTGGCTCAAGCCTGTAATCCCAGCACTTTGGGAGGCCGAGGCGGGTGGATCACGAGGTCAAGAGATCGAGACCATCCCGGTCAACATAGTGAAACCCCGTCTCTACTAAAAATACAAAAAAATTAGCTGGGCATGGTGGCGTGTGCCTGTAATCCCAGCTACTCAGGAGGCTGAGGCAGGAGAATTGCCTGAACCCAGGAGGCGGAGGTTGCGGTGAGCCGAGATCGCGCCATTGCACTCCAGCCTGGGTAGCAAGAGCGAAACTCCGTCTCAAAAAAGAAAACTTTCTTATGAGGCCAGGTGTGATAGCTCACACCTGTAATCTCAGCACTTTGGGAGGCCAAGGCGGGTGGATCACAAGCTCAGGAGACCAAGATCATCCTGGCCAATATGGTGAAACCCCATCTCTACTAAAAATACAAAAATTAGGTGGGCGTGGTGGCGAGCGCCTGTAATCCCAGCTACTCCAGAGGCTGAAACATGAGAATCGCTTGAACCCAGGAGGCAGAGGTTGCACTGAGTGAAGATCGTGCCATGTTAAAGAAGGTAGACACAAATTTTATGAAACGTCCAGAATAGGCAAATCTAGAGACCAAAGGCAGATTAGTGGTTGCCAGGGACTAGGGAGTGACTGCTAGTGGGTAGGTTTTTCATTTGGAATTCGATGGTGATGGATGTGACATGGTAAATAGAGGGAAAGCTACTGACCTGTGCAATGACTTTAAGTGGGTAAACTTTATAACGTTAATTACATCTCAGTAAACGGGACAGCCCTCCAGTGAGTGAGTAACAACATTCCCCCTGGAGGGTGCTGGAAAGGCAATTTGGTGTGTATCAATTTGTACCAAATTGAACCACAAAAAGGAGGGTTTACCCTTTAGTGATGATTGAATGCTACTTTTTTTTTTTTTTCCAA